GAATAAATTTATGCTCATAGATTAATAGTCTATGTGAAGCAACCCTGCATTGACACGCATACATTAGAGCACATTAATCGCATGGCGCCTCGGGATCGCGGTATGTAAGAGCTGATTTAAAATCACATGGCATGGGGTGATTGTGGCATGTGAGTGCTCGTTTAAAATCACATGGTATGGGGTGATTGTGGCATGTGAGTGCTCGTTTAAAATCACATGGTATGGGGTGATTGTGGCATGTGAGTGCTCGTTTAAAATCACATGGTATGGGGTGATTGTGGCATGTGAGTGCTCGTTTAAAATCACATGGTATGGGGTGATTGTGGCATGTGAGTGCTCGTTTAAAATCACATGGTATGGGGTGATTGTGGCATGTGAGTGCTCGTTTAAAATCACATGGTATGGGGTGATTGTGGCATGTGAGTGCTCATTTAAAATCACATGGCATGGGNATCATTGCATCGATGATACGTTTAATGGTGACAATATGTTCCCGTGTTATCATTGCATCGATGATACGTTTAATGGTGACAATATGTTCCCGTGTTATCATTGCATCGATGATACGTTTAATGGTGACAATATGTTCCCGTGTTATCATTGCATCGATGATACGTTTAATGGTGACAATATGTTCCCGTGTTATCATTGCTTCGATGATACGTTTAATGGTGACAATTTGTTCCCGTGTTATCATTGCATCGATGATACGTTTAATGGTGACAATTTGTTCCCGTGTTATAATTGCTTCGATGATAAATAACAATCGAGACTATAAGCTTATTATTTTATTTACATTTTACTAGATTTTAATTTTCTAATAAAATATATTATAAAAAATGACACGTATAAATGATTATACCGAAAAAATCTCTATTTAATTTATAGCTTCAACATTATCTCATCCATTAACCATAACTTAAGTTTGCTTTAATATTTAATATTGAAAAATTCGAATTTTCAACGAAATTTGAAGCCTATTTTCAAGCTGGGAGACAATTTCCAAATTAAGAGCCAATCCTAATTGGATTCATTTTCGTTGAATTTTTAAATAACTATGATTTAAAGTGAATTTTATATTGAAAATAAAATATTGCACACACTATAAAAATAGACAAATAAATTTATGAACATTGGTGAACCTAATGTTAAAACTTAACTAAAGACGCAATAGATCTCTTATGACACGTGTAATAGAGGCACTGAAGTATACGTGTAACAGGTGCACTAGAGTGTACGTGTAACAGGTGTGCTGCTAGTACACGTGTACTGCTGAGTCGTCGCTCCACCGCTCGCTCTCACAGCTGTAACGGGGCCAGCGTAGAGAGCTGCAACACTCTTTCTTTCACTAATTGTTCTTTTAGTATGATTTATATTGATTCTTATAATTTCAATTAATATTTTTTGCGTACGTGAGGCATTTAGCGTATTTTAACTATACGCAAAATCTTGTACCTTCAAAAGTGTAATAGAGAGCTGCAAAGCTCTTTTCCCCACGAATTGTTCTTTTAGTATGATTTCTATCGATTCTTATGATTTTAATTAATATTTTTTGCGTACGTGAGGCATTCGATGTATTTTAACCATACGCAAAATCTTTTACGTTTAAAACTGTAATAATGTCTTAATACTCGCAGCGAATTATCTTGTGCAGTTAAAATTGTGGAAGCATTATACGTAATATCCTGTTCACTGTTCATGTTAGTTATCCTGTTTAATCTGTTCCCGTTCACTTTATCTGTTATTGTTCACTTCGTCTGTTCATGTTAATTTTTCAACATCATAGAAAAGTGATTTCTACCATTTTATTTTTCTGCCTTGCTAACACTATGCTATGAATTTTATTTTTGTAAATATTTTTTTGATTATTTTTTTGTGAATTCTTTAGCAAGTCAAATTTATTTAATCTTTTTACAGCGATTATTGAATTAAATATTGATATTTAAATTTTCAATGAAAAAATTTGTGACTAGTGCAATAATTGTGATGGTATCTAAAATTATAATGCAAATAAATATTAAGTTACAGTGAATAATCAATCCCAAATGGATATCTAGAATGAGAATAAATTTTTATAACAACGAATAAAACATAATATATGGCTAGGGCTTAATGTTTATTATTATTCATTCATTATTATTATTTACTTATTAATATTTATTATTTATCATTCATTCATAATGAATTTCGCCAGCATGGATGACTGAATTTTGACTGGATGACTGAAGTGATTCGTTGCCATAAATAATTACATTATTTTCCATTAATATTATATTATTAAATTAAAAATTAATCATTGGAGACTAGTGTATATATCAGATGTCCATTATTTTATTTAAGAAGCTTGTTAATTTATCGTACATATATTCTCAAAAAACTTTTACAGTCACTGGGTGTTGAAATTGCGTTCAATTGGTGTGGGCAAACTCGAATAACATTTAATCAGGAATTACGCATGATTGTTGTCGCCACATTATTATGCTTGTTGTTAATGAGGAATTATGCATGATTGTTGACATGCAATCATGATTGTTGACATTAACTAGCAAGTTAGATGTGAATTTTTCACCTACATTTAAGCTGACGACAAAAAGCGCGCACAGCCTGAGAACTTTCTTATACATGCGTTTGAGAACACTTCGTTTTGTTAATATAACAATAGTAACTTTACCAATCGCTCTAGACCCTTACAATATAAATTAATCATGGATCATGCATGAGCTAAAATTTTGATGCTCTGTTTATTCTTTGTATCGCTCATTATTCGTAATTTCAGTCAATTTCACGAGAAAATTTCAATAATTTAATTTCGTTAATTTTTTCATTATTACCTTCATGTTTTCTCTCTTAAATAAGCAGTGAGTTTGACCCAGAAAATTCTGGTATGGTTTAGCATATTTTGCGCATCATTATTTTTTGTGCATCCTTAGCCTCAGTCGATCTGAATATTATTATGAAATTAAAATCTAAGTCAACATTTGGGGAAATTTCCCCAGCTCAAATTTTTCAAATTTCCCCAGGTTAGAATCGGTGACAGGCCTACGGCCTTATGAACGCAGATACCTTATAATTATAATAATTATTATTGCTATTATTAAATTATTGCGCTTATACGTAGATGAGGAAATAAGCGACGTGTTACTTACACGTGTACATACGACGTCACATCCGCGCTGCACCTGCGAATGAGAGAGTGGAGGGAATGAATGAGAGGAGGGAGAGAGGGGATGAATAAGAGGGGGTGATGGCAATGAACGAGAGGAGGGAGAGGGGAAGAAAGAGTGTTAAAGGAGGACAATGAACGAAAGGGAGGAGAGGGGAACGAATGAGAGTTAGAGGAGGGCAATGAACGAGAGGAGGGAGAGGGGGACGAGTAAGAGAGGGTGAGGGGAATTAATGAGAGAGGGAGGAGTAGGGGGATGGAGGGAGAGGAGTATGAGTGAGAGGAAGGAGAGTGGACAGATGAGAAAGAGAGAGAGAGAAAGAAAGAGAAGAAGAAGAGTGAACTGAGGGAGAGGGATTGATTCAGGAAGGTGAAAATAAACAGAAAATAAGCGAAAAGATGTTAAGAAAGGAGGAGGATTAGAAAATAAAAAAATATCAGAGGAAGAAAATGGGATAGATGAAGAACAAAGAGAAATGTTTCGGTCCAGAAGAAGAAGAAGAGCAAGGAGAGAAAAAGTGTCGGTGAGGCGGGCAACAACTGACTAAAGGAGAGCGCAAGAGCAGAAATGTAACCAAAGAGAGAATCTTCCAGCAACCAGCGAACAGCGGCCGAAGAGAGAACAAAGAGAGAGAAGAAAATGCGAAGTAATGCAAAGTAAAGCAAGAAACGACGTGAAGAATACGAGTAAAGTGAATCAGATAAAGTAACAAACAACTATATACAGTGTCTGTAGACTTAGCACTTTATTTGGTTATTGGTTTTATTTTTTGGGGCTTCTCATGTGTGCACAAATTGAAACAATAGCCACGCAATGAGCGGTTCGTACAATGATGTTGACTGAAGGAGTAAATGCAGTAAATCAAAACAGGTATAACGTACAAAAAATGAAAAATAAATAGAATAACGATAGGCGAGTAATGTGTTGAAATTTTGTTCAGTCCTGTGATTTATAAATATAAGTAGTTCATGAGCTCGTTAATGAAACCATTACAATAGGTATAGGGGATATAGATCTACTATTTAATTCGAGTCTTTTTAAGAGTACAGCCAAAAACTTCGCATAACTCTCAGTTATCCCTATTAAAATCTTTTGCAAACAAAACCAGTGGATTCATCAAGCTTTTTTTTTATCCAGATAGCTTGGCTGAGTAAAACTTTGCTTAATCCATTCATGCCCTAAAATTGAACTAATATATAAACCTAATATCTCGGCATATTGAGTGATTGTCATCGCAAGATACATGTCAAGGGTGAAGGGCACATTTACTCAAAAATTTTTTTTTAAGTCTTTGAACAAGCTGCTAATTAGAGATAAACTCTTGAATATATTAGATTTCAAAATTTTTAAACCTTTCAACATTATTTTTATACACTATCCTTACTTCTGGTCATAGCTTCAACCTCAATAAATTGTATACCGGTAGATGTAATAAATGGACTACCGTGAACTTCCAAGCAAGAAATACCAGAAAAGAAATAGTAAAATATCTTCTGGAAGCTAATATGATAAAGTATACCTAGTATTATCATGGTGGAATGAGTATTATGATTATTAATCTCAAAATAATGCCTAAAACAATATTATGATATGCCTATTGATTTTCTAAAAAGCGTCTTTAATACATAATTTATATACATAGAAGTTATCATCTTTGAAGCGCTTTTAACACTAAGATCAGTCAATACAAATAAAATGTACTGTCTTTTAACATAAATTATGAATACAAAATAGAACCATATTTCTTAGCGATTTGTAACTACTTTTATTTTGTAGTTGCGGATTGGTGAGATAAAATTTAAATTAAGGCCGCGAGTTTCGTTTTAAACTGAAAGTTTGGAGCGAGTCTGCTGCGTTCACCGACACCGAGTAAACATCTCTAGGTCTAGTGAGTAGTGTCTATCGCTCTTGATTGCGTAAAATTAACCGGCAAATAATCATCTATAAATTACTTATTACTTGATCTAGGCCTTTACCTCTAGGCTCTATATATACAACGGTCAACGTGTATATATTTAGCGAGCCGCTGCGGCGCTGCCCCGCCCGTACACTACTCACTACACTGCATACAGCGTCAAGTTCAACGCTATCAAGAATCGGCTTGCTTTCTTGGCAATCTTCTTCTCTTTATGAATAAATTATGAGAAGTCAGAGAAGAGGCAGTAAGCCGCCAGTAGGGCAGTAGGCCAGTGGCCAGTAGCAGACTGGCACAGTCTGGCAGTAGGACTTTAAATTCTTGCATTTTATTCCACTATTAATATTATTATCATTCTCTTATCAAGGCTATCTAATTTTTCTTCAAAATCTGGGCTCTAGCTAGCCTGCTAGAGTGCTAGGTAGTAGGTACATCATATCATTTGATTTTGTAAGTTTCATCTGCTTGGCAGAGGCAACTACCCCCTGGGTACCCCAGATTGCACTCCATACTCCATACTCATAGTGCAAGCAATTGCTATGTTTCTCACACAAACTGGTCATCTAACGGTCTAACTACCTTATAGCCAATGAAGAGCACTGGATCCAATGACAATTTCCATCTCATTGCTTCTTATCAAGTTATCATGAGAAACTGATGATAACGTGGAGAGAATGCACCAGCGGAGAGAAGAAACTGAAATGAGAAGATGAAGACAAGAATTATATAAACATTGCTTAGTCCAGGTGTCACAAGTGGTCGGCACGCCGCACATGACTTCTTCACCTTCAAACCAGCATCAAGTCTAGTTTCATCTGCATTTTTTCATCGCAGGCAATTAGCATTAACCCTGGGAATGGAATAATCTGGGACACTTGAAAATTGAAATAAACTTAATTTTCAAATGTTTTAAGCATATTTGAGATGTACTCATCAATTATCATCAAATGTTTCAGCATCATAGCATGTACGGTACTCATTTCAAGCACAGTACAAGACTACTTGTCCATTGCTGCTACACCAATAGGTACCGTCAACCAGGGCTACTCGGGACTGGCGGGGCTAATCGGGACAGTCCTCCCACTATGCAGAGGGTGGATGCAGCGTTGGCAATATATGGATTTTTAAGCCCAAAGCGTCGCCGGCCATTTTAACGATGCGTCGCCGGGTAATTTTTAATGAAAAGCCATTTAAGCTGAGTAATGACGAACTATTTACAAGCCACAAACTTATTACAAGGTTGCATGCACGTGTTACCCCAAATAACTAATTTTACCCTAAAAACAGTCCGTACTTGGATTGTATATGGCCCACGAGTGGCCCAAGACTCTGCTGACATGCGGTTCTGATGCTCGTCCAGGAGCGGCAACACTCGCTCGAAGATTTGTCCCAGACTGGACTAGAACGCGCTCCAAACTAGCCAAGAATCTGCTCCACGTTGGCCCAGAATATGTCCCACCTTGGCCGCTCTATTTAAAGAGCCAGGATAATCTTAGTAGGTCAGTGACAGGACAGCAAGGAAGTCTTCATTGCCAGAAAGCAGGCTCATGTACAGTAGGCAGTATGAGTGGTTGGCAAGTCAGTATAAGCACCAGATAAGCAGGAACACGAAAAATTGACTCGCTTCAACAATGCTTATTCACATGCATTAATTTAACTTTAACTTGCAGTCACTTTATTAGTTTTAAAGCACTGGGGACACAAAAGAGAGAATTAATTGAAAACACAATAAATAATTCATTTGCTTAAATGCAGCCCCTAACAACCTGTGCTACTTTTTTGATCGAAAAATTTTACTTGAGATAGAAAGGACAAAAATAACAGGAATTAAAGTTGCAATTGAAAGAATAAAGAAAGAAGGTTGCAACACTTTATGTTTAATAAGATTTTGATTGGACTAAATATTAATTCATTAGCAATTCATCTCCAAGTCAAATGCAACAAATTAACATTTATGAATTAATAACAAATCACGCCCCAATAATAGTTTAACATGATGATCACCACGTAAGCAATTTCACAGAGCAAACTCTCATTGTTGCTTATCGGACCCTTATTACCACAGGGGGATGTCTCTTATTGCCCCGTCATGCAGAAATTTATTTAATTTATTTACCTCTGCCATTCATTTAATGAGCTTTGCAAATTCTGTCAATCAAGTTTTTAAGCCAACACCTGTGTGCAACTTTTATGCAAGTAAAATTTCTTAATATGGCAAATCTTTATTTATTTATTTTTTTTTTTTTTGCTACAGACCTTAACAGAGGTACTTTTTCAAAATTTTACTTTTCACGCTTCTTTCAGCAATTTTTTAGAGACAGTAAATGTATGATTTCTTAACTTGTTTCATGCTACATATATGGAAAAAATGTTGAACTTCATGCCACTAATTTTTGTTTTGTAATATTTCAATTAGTTTTGCTGCTACAACATTTCTATGAAATGTTGGAGGACTGTCCCTTATTAACCCATCTGTCCCTTTTTACCCCATTTGACGGTACACCAACAGTGAATTTTTAAACTAAAAAGGAATGAACTGTACAGAAATGTCAGGAAAAAGAGCTTAGAGTTTAGCTTTAGAATTTGTCAGAAATTTTCAAGGCAAAATTCCCTTAAATTTTATATTTGAAAGTGGAAGTGATGAATTCCTCAAGTACTAAAAATTCTGCACCACCATACTTTATTTTGCTGAATTGTCTCTATTCTACTCATGAAGCCAAAATTAGAAAAATGATTCAAAGGTGGTTAAAGTATTTAAAACATAAGAAGCTTCAATGTTAATTTCAGTCCTGTAGATGCATTTCTTCCCTCTAGGGTTCAATGTTTGCATCTATGGTACATTAGATAAAAATGATGACCTAAACATATCTTTATATATGTACTGTACTTGTGTATATTTATGTGAAATTTTGGATATTTTTATTTTTTATTTTCCAGGTGATGCATTAAACAGAATGCAAGACAAGAAAGCTAAGAGAGTATCTTTTGCTGACACCAAAAGTATCAGGTAAGTCATGCATCTTCTGTGCTGAAAACAGTAACTGGAAAATATGTGATGTTATTTTTCTTGCCTATCCAATAATGATTTTTAATCAATCAAACTTTAATTTTTAATCTCATTTAAAACAAATTTATCTGTATGAAAAGGATAAAATTCATTTATTTATATATATAAACTAAAATATTTTAAATTTATTTGTTCATTGTTTAATATCTTTGCTATACTAACCGAGGAGAATTGAATTGCAATGCTAAGCTTGTATCTTATATCAACAAAACCACATTTACTGTCAATCTTGGTTCATGGTGTGTTGTGTAGGTACTAGTCAATAAAACATAAGATCTCCACAATATTATCCAATCAAATGTCAACAGATAGATAGCACTAATGCCAGATAATTCAAGATCTTATGGAGTTGTTCATTTCTCCCACAATTGCTGCATGAACATTCAAATTTCTTGCTATTCACTGCAGCCAGGATTCTATATTGACCATTTTCTTGAAGAAATTTTGATCACCCCAAAGTTATGTACATTTACTAATTGAATTAAATGATGTATAAATTCAAATTTTTTGCCTTGCAATGGTGTGCCATTGCAATATCAGCGTAAATGATTCACTCATTCTATTAAAACACATCAAACCATGAGCAATTTTGGCATTTTCTGCTTATTCAATAGTTTAATTAAATTTAAACATCATAGTCTTGTTTTAATCAGGTCTTGTTTTTAATACCAGGAGGAAATATTCACCATCTCTATCCTTAACTGAATTAAAGAAGGGCAAGATGGAAACGTTTTGTAACACATATTTAGGTTCTCAATTTTATTGTTCATTTTAGCATTCACTGGAGACAATTATTTTTAATTGATAGAGTGGAAACCCTACATAATAATTTCTATACATACTGTACAGCAATTTGAGTTCCTAATTTTTATTGAACAATAAATTTTCTCTGGAATTGAGCTTCACTGTATTTGCCTTAAATTTTGACCTCAGGCATGCTAGCTAATATCTTATATGAACATTAATTTTTCTCTGGAATTGAGCTTCACTGTATTTGTCTTAAATTTTGACCTTAGGCATGCTAGCTAATATCTTATTTGATTTTTGACAATTTTCTCTCTATCAAAATATGTTACCTATATGGCGATAAATTAGAGTAATAAATATTAAATACATTCCTTTAATTTAATTTATTAAATAATAAATTAAACATTAAATAGTTTGTGTGTTCAAGATTGTTTACTGATATTTTCAGGGAGTTTTTGTCTGGTGGAGGTGATGTCTCACAATGGCACTCGTCCTATGCTGCCACCGTCTCTACTTCAAGTGATTCTTCTGAAGCAACAACTGCTGCTTTCGATGCCAGGTTCAGAGATGCATTCCAATTTCTCATACTTTACTGTACTTTATCCTGTGTAGTATGGAAATCTGCAAGTGAATACATAAATGTTAGACAACTGTTCAAGTCAACCTAGTCAGTAAACATAGTATATACCCATGAGATTGTTGAGGGGAATGTTTTGTTGTCAATCAGTGCAATGTGATAACTGTTATGTAGGAGTGGTTTTTCTATGAATTTATATGAAGATGTAGGGTTTGTGATGATATAGGATTTATGATAATGTAGGGTTTATGATAATGTAGGGTTTGTGATGATGTAAGGTTTGTGATGATGGAAGGTTTTTGATGATGTAAGATTTGTGATGATGTAAGGTTTGTGATGATTTATGGTTTTTGATGATGTAGGGTTTGTGATGATTTATGGTTTTTGATGATGTAGGGTTTGTGATGATGTAGGATTCATGATGATGTAGGGTTTGTGATGATGTAGGGTTTATGATAATGTTGTAGGGTTTGTGATGATGTAAGGTTTGTGATGAGGTTTATGATAATGTTGTAGGGTTTGTGATGATGTAAGGTTTGTGATGATGTAAGGTTTGTGATGATGTAGGGTTTATGTAGGTATTCAATCTTTGCACTTGGAAATAATGATTTTACAGCACAATTGGTGTCACAATTTACAGTTATTCTGATTGAATTTATATGCAAGGCATTTTAAACTAATTCTGGATTCAACAATTTTTGGTTTGAAGATGTGCATTGTATTTTGGTTATTCATGAAAACCTTCATCTATTAAAATTTTGCATGTGGCCCAGAGATAGAACTCAGTTAAAACATCCTCATCTTATTTTATGATGTATTTACAGTTTATCCTAGTTGTGAGCTGATTATTTAGGAGTATTTCAAGATATACTTGTGTTGTATATTCAATTATGTACTTGGCAGCAGCGAGTGCGGACACAATGAGAAGAGCAACAACACAGAGACTTGTGTGGTTGGCAGTCCGCTGGAGCAGGTGGGAGACATGATTCCAGTCTTGTCTTTATTGCGAAAATTAATTTTTCTGACCAATATTATTGATTGAATGGCATTTATAAACTAACCAAGCATGTTTAAATGCTTGAAACATAACTCTTTCTTAATTTACTGAATCAGTTCTAGACTTCATAGGTTTAATTTTTAAATTACCATGTTGGTCAGTTGGGTAAACAAAAAAGCTCAGTTAAGTTAAACTTAACCGTGCTGGATCATAGATTTGCAGAGTTGTGCTTGTGCTGCAGCACCATGCAGGACCATGACATGCTTGCAGAGTTGTGCTTGTGCTGCAGCACCATGCAGGACCATGACACGCTTGCAGAGTTGTGCTTGTGCTGCAGCACCATGCAGGACCATGACATGCTTGCAGAGTTGTGCTTGTGCTGCAGCACCATGCAGGACCATGACATGCTTGCAGAGTTGTGCTTGTGCTGCAGCACCATGCAGGACCATGACATGCTTGCAGAGTTGTGCTTGTGCTGCAGTACCATGCATTACCATGACACGCTTAATAATTTTACTGGGGCTCTGTGCAGGGCTACGAAGAATACGCAGCTCAAGGAGAGGCATTCCTGGCACGCTTCTTGCACGAGGGCTCCACGTCGGGCGCTGGGTCTCCGCATCCAGTCAGTCATGATGAACCTGCGGCCTATGAGTCTTGCCAGCTCACGCAAACTATCTTGAGAGATGGGGGGCACAGGATGACTGATGTGGATCTCACTTGTGCTCTTCCTACATCAATGGACCTAACTTGTGCTCTTCCTACATCAATGGAACTCACTCAAGCCATTCCTACATCAATGGAACTCACTCAAGCCATTCCTACATCAATGGAACTCACTCAAGCCATTCCTACATCAATGGATCTCACTCAAGCCATTCCTAGATCGATGGAACTTGCTCGCTACCATGCGCACTGTGGCCCTAGTAATATCATCCAATGTACATTGCCTTCGGAATACAATAGCACTAGTGAGCCTTCATGCGATGTTACATCAAAGCAAAAATTATATGCCCATGATTTAAATCATTTACCAAGTGGCAAGTTGAAGAAAAGCACCATGCCAGAAGATGGAGATGAAGGTTTGGAACTTACTGCCCATATTACAGGTAACGTGGTCGGGAAGAACAAAATGCCAGAGCAATATGAGAACAAAGAACTCGCTAGCCGTGCCCCACATCATTCTTTCCAGACACCTGAGAGAGAAATGTCCGGGGAAGATCGCTCTGTTAGTGCAGCACCTGGCAATACTTTTGAAGATGTTCCAAATGCTCCTCCCGAATTCCAAGATGACAAGCAAATGGAGTTGACCTTTGTTAGTAGAAGTGATTTAATTTCCTCGAGTCCATGTGAATCAGAAGTAAGCAGTAATAAGCAGCTTACTCACTCATCCACGCCTTCGATCCATGCATTGAAGAATGGTGGACTAACTGGAGAACAAGCAGAACCCTTGCCAAGTCGACAATTTATAAAGAGCCGCTCTAAACAGAGTCTGACTTTTCCAAAAGAAAAAACTAAGGATGAAAGTAACGGACGCTTGACGGAAAGTACGCAAAGAAGCTTTTTTTTTGCATCAAATTCGGAAGTCAACAGTGATATTATGAAGTCAAGAGTTCACAGAGAAAATTTTTCCATTGAAAATCAGGATTGTCCTCATGTTGTGTCGGATGTTTGTTTCAGTGGAGAAGAGGAAAAGGTGTCTGGAAAGGAGATGACATGTTTCTCTCGACCAGATTTTGGCTCTGTTGCTGGGTCTGTTGAGGCCATTGGAAGCAACTTGTCAAGAACTGAGCTGTTGCGCGAGGAAACTGCTTTGGGGTTGAAGCCGAGCGCCGAAAAAATGTCTCTAAATACTGACACAGAAAACGTTCATAAAGACAAGAATAAGTCTCTGAATGGCGGGAAAATACTGCAGAATGATACGCAAATTTCTTTAATGGAAAACTATCGTGTTGACGTCTCATGTTCTAGGAATGATTCTCAAATAGAAATATTAAACGAAAGTAAGGATTTCATCAACAATGTCACAGCACAACTAGTTGAATCTGACGACAGTTTCCAAAGCCCCTCTAAACTCCCTGAAACTTCAAAACTTCCTGAAAATAACTGTCCACCTGAAAAGCCTGGCAATCTGGTGCCTGAAAGTGAACCTGCTGAAAGGGCTATAAGTTTCGAGAGTCCAGCAAGTGTTATGAGCGATTCTTTGGTTACACCTGATAATTTGATTGGGGCAAATGGCAGGACAATTTATGAATTGCATTCGCCTTCAAATGGAAAGTCTATTTCCAGAGAACGTCAAATTGTTCCTACTCAGGATGATGAGAATCCAGTGGCAGAAAAAGAAATTTTCTTGCATAGTGATTGTGTTAACACCATTACTACAGAAGAAACTAACACAAAAGTGTCTTCCGCTGTTAAAAGTGCATTTAAAGCTGGTAATGAGTTACAGACTCAAATCGACAAACAAGCAAACTATGTAGCATCGTCTGTGCCGAAATCACAGCAAACTGAAGCCCGCAAGGCTTTGTCGTCCATTTCTTCCAACGTGGATTTTAATCCTAATAAATCCAGTTCCAAAATCCCTACGGAGTACTCAGGAAGTACTAGAAATTTTGATAGAACTGAAATAGCCTCGAAAGAGAACCAAGAGGCAACTGCTGATGCTGCGTGTAACGTGAAAAAGAATCCCTCTGGAAAAACCACGGAGAAAAGTAACAAGGAAAAGCGCGAGAAGCCTACATCAATTCCTGCTGGCTGCTCGAGCTGTCGAGAAGAAACCATCGTGATCCGTCATCGGTGAGCATTTGCTTCAGTTACTCTTTTAGCAATTTTCAACTTGAGTGAGGTTAGATTATATTTTTTAACCCCATGCTCTCCCTCGCCTCGCTGCCCTGACTCCCCTTATGACTCCCGCTGCCCTGACTCCCCTTATGACTCCCGCTGCCCTGACTCCCCTTATGACTCCCGCTGCCCCGACTCCCCTTGACTCCCCTTATGACTCCCGCTCCGCTGCTCCGACTCCCCTTATGACTCCCGCTGCCCCGACTCCCCTTATGACTCCCGCTGCCCTGACTCCCCTCCCCTCGCTCCCCTGCTCCCAATACCCTCACACTTCTCACTCTCCTCACTCCGTCTACAGGTCGGTGACGCTGACCCTGCAGCAGGCACCGCAGGAGGCGCTGCTGGTGTGCCGCTTTGCCCCGGCGCTGCGCGTGCGGCTGACACTGCAGCGTGGCACCGACGGCCACGCCACCGTCACCGTGGCGCAGTGTCTCACCCAAGTGGCAGGTGGAGTGGCAAGGGTCTTCTCAGAAGTCGAACTCATAAGGATCACGTCATCATGATGAGATTTATTCTATATTTTTAGTATGAGGACTTCCTCCAAATTCTATTCAGTCAGTTCTTAATTCAACCTGAAAATTCAATGCCAACTCATACCAATGCCAACCCATACCAATGGGTTTATAAGTCAATGTAGGTTCACAAGCCGCAACAATAAAGTTTTTACATGTTTATCCTAAACGAAACATACAAGCTAAGAATGTTTCACTCTTGCATATTTCGTTTTCATGATTCTATCGTAACTTTCAAGTATCCATCAAGCATAAACTGAAATATGGGAAGAAATCTGAGCTTTTTAAATTTTTTTGCTTACAGCGAACTCTACTGCGTTATAATTTGTCATGAATGTTTTCAATTATAATGTATTGCTTTATTTCCGCTATAGGTAATTATTATTATTTAATATTATTTCATGCCGTATGTTTAACGTGGTACGCGGCGTGCAGAAGTGAAGCACCGCCTGGCACGTCTGGCGGTCGAGGTGCACTTGGATGAGCTGCGTCAGTGCTGCGGCGACCTGCAGGGGAGGAGGCTGTGCGACTTGGCCGCTGCGCTGCCGCCGTTCTGCTGCAGCATCACCGCCATCAAGGACCTCATCGCTGAGCTGGTGGCGCTGTCGGCGCAGTGCGTCATCACGCCTCAGGACAACACGAGGTGACCAGCGGCCAGTACCTGGCTTGTCCAGGGTGTTGTGTAATGCAAGAATGGTTCTGGCGAGCCAGTGATGGTCGTATAAGTGACCAGTTGCATTAAATGCCTGGCAAAACTGACTATAACCTCCTCCCTTACCTAGGTGCCACTACCAGGATGGGCAATTACACACACACAGACCAGTGGGATCTAACGCCATTACTGGTGATGCTTCCTTCTGGGGTTTTACTTGCTGGGAGAAGCGCTGATATTTTACATACTTCTTGACAACAATTTGCTTTATATACTATGACCGATAGAAATCTTGACGACAATTTGCTTTTATACGTACTCAATGTAATGACCGATAGAAAATACTAACTACCGGTAATAAATTCAATACGTTACCAAAATTATCAGTAATTTTCCACTACTTCATCTTAAATTATTGAGTACAAAGTTATTGAGCTATTTTTAGAATATATTTAGCGTTGTGGTGACGGTATCGACTTCACCAAAACAACTGTATAATGTATATACCTACACCATCTGCACTACCATTAAGACTACCACCACCTACTCCACCATCGCCAGCTCTCTTCGCCATCACTACCTACACCACCACCTGTCAATGCCATCACCACCAACGCTTATCATAAAATTGATGTGCTACGATCCTCCAGATCACTGATCAGCATCCATAAATCAGCATCCATAAATCAGCATCATTGACTCATCACTGGATAATTTGATGCATGAATCATTTAGTGTAACTAAGCTGACATTCACTTGAGACCATGAATCAGCATCATTGACTCATCACTGGATATAGTGACGTGGCGGTCATGTGGTGGTGACGTGGTGGTGTTGTGGTGGTGATGTGGTGGTGACGTGGTGGTGATGTGGCGGTGATGTGGTGGTGACGTGGTGGTGATGTGGCGGTGATGTGGTGGTGATGTGGTGGCGATGTGGTGGTGATGTGATGGTGATGTCGCCGCGGCTTTATGCCAGTATGACAGCAGCTGCTTAGTTAGGGTTTCCAAATTTTAGTATGAAGCCTCTTTTCAACGTGAACAGTGAATGAACTACGGAGGATTTTTTTTAATTTATTGGCCTCTCTAAAATGCATTGTAGCCCAGGAAACACCGGAAAATTCGCCGTACCACAAATAATTTCTTGTCAAGCTTATCTCTACGTTCCGTGTACTTATTTTGAAAGAAATTTGTCCCTTTTTTCCTTTAACGACATAGAAACAGTTATGTCATGCATGCGATAATTTATTACCTAGAGTGAGGCCGGATGAGCGTTGTTTTTTTTCAAAGAGGTTCTCCTAGAAAACTACGTGTGCCTCAAGTAAATTTGTAAGGATTGTAATGGACGTAGTAAGCAGTTAGACAGAAATACTGAAAAAGCATATTCACATCCTGACTTACGAAATTGAGAAAAGGTATAATATGAATCTATTTTCCTAACCTGTATTCTTCTAAAGTCTAAACCAAGAAGACTGTGGATATAATGATTATAATATTGGATTATTATACTGTGGATTATTATAATATAATATGTCAGCATCTCGCGCTTGCTGCAATCCCACCTAGCGACTCACACGTGCTGTGTTGAAACTTGAGAATTATTATTAACCTGTTTGATAGACCTGCAATTGCAGAATTGCTAACAAGTTTTATGTGTTGCAGAAGTGAAGACTTCGAAGAGGCGATCAAGTTGGTGGACGAAGGCCCCGCCTTGCTGACACGCTTTGTAGCCGCCGCTGAGAAGTGCATTAATTCTTAATTTACTTCAATAATTTCTACTAAAATGTCTACGAAATTTTATTAATAGTCAAGTCATAATAAATAATTATGACTTAGTGATTAAGAAACGATTGCAAGTCATTGCTCGCCAACTGGAATTCGTATATATTACATTCCCTAAAAATTAGTATGACAAACTTTTCCGAATTTTGCTATGTAACGTACGTATCTCCTTTGCATGGCGGCCGTTATTTTTTCTAGTAATTTTCTATTAAGGTGACCATAGTATTAAATAATGTCTGAACTGAGGGTCTCTGACTCTCATTTTATATCCTATGATAATAATAACTTTTCAATAAATTTACTTTTAGTCCCTCATGGTGAGGTCCTCAGAAGCCATGTGGAAGTGAGCAACCCGAGGCAAGGGGCTTGATCCCAAACAGTATTGGCGTCTGAACAGCTTGTTGTATTTCTCAAATTAATTGATCACTTCGAGGTTGAATAAATGAGTTTCGTCATTCGTGATTTCTAATTTATATTCACGCAATAGTATTATAGAATGCCTGTTTTCCTTCGTTATTTTCACTCGTGAGTACCACACGAGTCGCATTTTCTAAAACAGTCAATCTTCTAACTCCAGTTGAATTCGAACATCCGATGCGTCCTGCCGCTTGAGCTCCAAATGGCACTGATTAATTTTCGCCGGTCTTTTCATTCACCTTCAGTCGAAATGTTTCCAAAATTCTGATAGCTGGATGCGCGCGGTTGAGCTTTTGCGCATTGAGCATGGTACGTTAGCAACGCCTGCAGCAGCAGCAGCAGCATGTCCCCAGCTTTTGCTCTCGTCCTTGAGGCCGTCTTTATTATCAGCACCTCACCGCCTACTGCCGTCATACACGCCCCTGTCAGTGTAGGACCTGACGACTCTGGAGTGACCTGCAGCAGAGCTTCGTTGTTGTCCCAAAGGCGACCGTCGCACCTGGGTAACTCCAGGTCCCGTCCGACGTCGCTGCCTCTCGCAGCGCCGGTTTATTAAATATCAAAGCTGGCATTCAGAAGTTGATAGTAAAAAATAGTGCTTGGAAGTTTCGGTGTCAAGGGTTCGAGGACCTAGGAGAGCACTCAACCATCAGCGATCTTGTTAATTTTATGTTATCATTGCCAAAAACAACTCAGCACTGAAAACCGTTCCTCTTATATGTCCATTTCAGACAAGTTTCAGGCGACCTCCAATCAAAGGAAACTAAAGCTGGCATATGTAAGATACAGTAAAAAATTTTACTACTGTCGGCGAACACAAATACGTATTGGCTTGTTAGTTTACATATTGTAACACAAATACGTATTGGCTTGTTGGTTTACATATTGTATATTGGCTTGATGGTGAATGTAAATCTATCAAATTGAGTGTATATTCGTGCTTTACTGGCTACTGCTGAACAATAAAGAGTGAGCAAGCTTATGTACTTCGGCCGAGACCAAATTGTCGTAGTGAAATTTCACGGCTGGTGGAGAACATTGCGGTGAGCGTTGATGAACATGATCAAAAACATCACAATCATCTTTTAAAAAATTTTGTTCATGAAATTGTCCAAGAATCTTGCCGCTGAAGCGAACATTCTTTGATCAATTTTGAGATTAGAATATATTTTTCGAATAAATTGGAGCATTGAAGTGAAGTTTCATTTTAAATGACAACAAAAAGAACTCGTCTGATTAATGTTCATCACAGAGCTAGTTTTGAGCAGCAGACGTCCATAGCCAGCTACGATAGCGAGCTAAGGTGGTTGAAAAGAAATATAACTCGGTACTCACTGCAGTGAGTGACAGAGCGCGCATTTTCTCGTCGATGAAAACGTCACAGACGGACGAACATGACGAGCATAATAGCGCCTTTTTTCCATAAATGAGAAAATGCGCTAAAAAGACCATTCGTGTACAAAACGTGCTTTTGTGGTGATCGAATCAACTACGACACAATAAAATCAGTTTCATTATTTTGTGTAAAGTGCTTCAACAAAGTGCATTATTGAAGAGACCCGCCATGTTTATACATAGACATTTCTGTGATGTCATATCGCAACGTTTCATTTTGAATCGACATGGCCCATGTCGGTGCACGGCTGCTTGTCCATAATATTCAGTACAATTTCCTGAACCTGGCTGATGAACGTGAGAAGAAAACTAGTTTCCTTAGCTCTGAAGGTGAAACAGCGTTTCTTTGCAGGAAAAGAAGCATCATATTATGCGTCACAATGCAACTATTGTCAAATCAAGAGTGCAAGAGTGAAGCGTTAGCAAATTCACTGAAATATCACGCAATTCACTGAATAGCAAAGTCATCGGACAAAGGAACATTTTTAACACAACTGGATGCTTGTGGAAGTGGCTGATTAAACATTGTAATTTAATGGTGAATGGATTGATGGTAACTCCAGCTAACGGATTTAGGTAGGAATAGCATTAACTCTGGATCAAGCTTAAGGGGAGCGTCTAGGGTAAAATTTTGGATTTCGGCTTTTCCGGTTTTTAGTCTCATCTTAAAGCTGACATTCTGATCTATCCAACGGTACCAAAACCATCTCTGTACGTTGATTTATGCGTTCACGACAGATCATGAAAGGGAGGGGGGTGGAGGTAGTTCTTTAACAAATAGAATGGGAGGAAATTCGCTGCGAGCACTTTAAATAGAGTGTCTGCTTGAAGTGCACCTTAGTTACCCGCCTGGCGTCGTATGAGGAGGTGTGCATGCAGTCGCTCCCACCATCCTTGACTGGAATCAAGCTCCAGTAACGTTTAGTTTTGTATCCTTGCTACTTTGAAAATCCTAGGAGGAGATAGATTTCTACGGTACCCCTTTTTTTGGCCGTTTTCTAAGAATTTCACGTTTTCTTTCATTTTTTTCGAAAAATTTACACGAACAAAAATGTCTTAGAATTCTATTTTACACATGTGTACCAAGTTTCAGAGTGATCCGTTTGTAAATAGCCAAGATAAATTTTACCCTAGACGCTCCCCTTAAATATTCGTCGACAAAGAAGGATAAATTTTCCACACTTTTCATGATCAATCAAGATTTCTCCCACTCGCAGTTTCAGTTCGAATTTTTTCTGAGTCGTAACACTATCAAACACGTATCCATGAGCCATGATGAAACACGCAGCTTATTAGGTAATGCCTGATGCAGTTTCATTTGTTCATTTAGTAATAATCTTACGCGCGATTTACAAGACACTGTTTCATTCCTCGGTTCGTTTGAGACGTTTTCACTCATTAATTGTGCGTTTAAAGACATTTTGGATAATTATACAAGAGTGTTTTATTGAACGAAGTATGACATCAACACACCATATGTTTCAGCACCCGAGGTTGTAGCGTGCTGCCTGCACCCGAGGTTGTAGCGTGCTGCCTGCACCCGAGGTTGTAGCGTACTGCCAGCACCCGAGGTTGTAGCGTACTGCCTGCACCCGAGGTTGTAGCGTGCTGCCTGCACCCGAGGTTGTAGCGTGCTGCCTGCACTCGATTTGTTGCAGAAAGAAAAGGCTGCCAAGAATATTTTCTAATTTGAGCTTAACAGCTTGATAATCTAACCCTCTACCGACGTATGTCACTCTCTGGGAACATAATTTACAAGTTAAATTATACGGAAACTATTGAGTGTAGCAACCTGAGGACATTTTATAGGTTACAGAGAACATTGTAAAGTTGTCGTACGTGGCGGCAACCATCAGTGCAAGTCATTTTGCGCTCACTAGAACGTATCCTTTTTGGGAAGTAGGCGCGTGACAATATTGCTCCGGTTACTCATGTCAGGCGGTGGAGGGTTAAGACCAGAGTTGGGCAGCGCTACTTTGAAATGTAGCGGCCGCTACCGCTTCATGTTCTAAATGTAGCGGGCGCTACCGCTACCGCTACATGCTCTAAATGTAGCGGGCGCTACCGCTACAATTGCTTAAATGTAGCGCCGCTACCGCTACCGCTGCAAGTGCTTAAATGTAGCGGCCGCGGCCGCTACCGCTACAATTGCTTAAATGTAGCGCCGCTACCGCTACTGAAAATGTAGCGGCCGCTAAATGTAGCGCGCTACTCCCACCTCTGGTTAAAACCTAACATTTTGCTACGAGTCACCGGCAGCTTTACTACCGACGTGTCGCTACTCTCACGAGGTGCGAGCATTCGTCTCAGGCGGAATTCGTCTCCGTGCGAACCAAACTTAGACCATGATTTTTCAGGCTCCATCGGTGTAGTCAACAACACTCGACTTTCCTGTTCACTCCTGCAGAATTCAGCAACGTCGATTGCCCTTGGCTACGTCGTCGATTTATGTACTATATTTTTGGGGAGTTCCGAAGGGTGATTTAAAGATGCAGAGGCAGAGAAAATTGAGTTGGGAGTTTTGGAATTTGTGGAGCTAACAAGGTGAACTGACCGTGCCATCTAGTGAAGTTAGAGCCCAGAGAGGCGCATAGCATGAAAAAGGTTTTTGATAAAGTCTTACATGGATCAGAGAGTCATTCTTCAATGAATTAGAGAATAATAATATCAATTATTGGGTTGTCATATAGATTTGAGAGGCAAATTGGGCACTTATCTTAGTGGATGCGTTTCTTTGTGATTTGTAATATTTTCACAGAAAGTACCCGAAGAATAGTTCACAACTGGAGGAGTGAGTTTTTTAGATCCTACCGCGTATTTAACTTTATTGGTAAATTAATTCGTTTATCTACGAAGATGTTCTGTTGGGTCTCAAGAGTGGCGACAAAATTTTGACTCGCCTCGTATGATGACACCGATTTTCGAATGATAAACTGTCTTGACCAAAATCACATATAAATTTCTATTATCGCTTTTCGTACAACGATTTGGTACTACTCCTAACTTGCTCTCCTGACGTATGTGAAGCTGTAGTTGAAACTGCTTGCTATGATTACATCCGTTGTTCTACGGCTTCAGCTAGTATCTTTCTAGTCAGGGTTATTGTAAAGTTTATTGCCCATCTACTTTTATTAGAAACGTTAATCATTCTGAATTTCACAGCAACATATTCGATGAACATCAGGAATAATCTCTCAAATATACAACAAAATTTAAGAGGAAGAAGCTGAAAATATTCAAAAAGAAATAAACGGTGACATTTTTGGGGCAGAAAATTTCCAATTTTCTGAAGTAAACTTTAGGAACAATCTCTCGAATAAGCAACAAAATTTAAGAGAAGTAAGCTGAAAATATTCAAAAAGAAATAAACGGTGACATTTTTTGGGCAGAAAATTTCCAATTTTCTGAAGCAATCTCAAGATTTTTTCGCTTCTTGATACATGCTCAGATTGATAGGATATTTCGATAGATTTGATTGTGGACTTGTGCGGGCTTTGTAGACTTGACATCTTAGGACCGGGAACAAAAGTCCGTCCCCGTGTAGCTTGTGATCCAGTTGTAGTATTCTGTAGGATGGAATTTGATCAACTGTGTAGTGACTAATAATTCATAGTATGGTATCTTCGGCATTGAATAGGCCTGGATAGGCCTGTCGCCGATTCTTGTTCTTGTAATGAGATTGTATGGTGTAAAAACTGTATTTTGTCGCATATTAAGTACCGTAAATATGTACGGTGCTCTTGAACTCTGGCCGATAACCATATCAAAATATACCTAAATTAAATAAAAATAATCATCATTGTAAGCCAGTTAATAAATCATGGCCAGTTAGGTAACTCCAAGAGCTTAATTTTATGAAATATGTATAGTGTCGGAGCATTCACCCGTGACGCGGGTGTACATGCCACCACTCACCCGTGACGCGGGTGTAGATGCCACCACTCACCCGTGACGCGGGTGTACAC